GAAGGGACCTCAATAGATCATCGAGTCTGACCCCCTGCATAAGCAGGAAAGTGCTGGGTCTAGATGACTCCAGCTAGATACTCATCTAACCTCCTCTTGAAGACTCCCAGGGTAGGGGAGAGCACCACCTCCCTTGGGAGCCCGTTCCAGACCTTGGCCACTCGAACTGTGAAGAAGTTCTTCCTAATGTCCAATCTAAATCTGCTCTCTGCTAGCTTGTGGCCATTATTTCTTGTACCCCCTGGGGGCGCCTTGGTGAATAACTACTCACCAATTCCCTTCTGTGCCCCCGTGATGAACTTATAGGCAGCCACAAGGTCGCCTCTCAACCTTCTCTTGCGGAGGCTGAACAGATCCAGTTTCTCTAGTCTCTCCTCGTAGGGCTTGGTCTGAAGGCCCTTAACCATACGAGTGGCCCTTCTCTGAACCCTCTCCAGGTTATCCGCATCCCTCTTGAAGTGCGGCGCCCAGAATTGCACGCAGTACTCCAACTGTGGTCTGACCAGCGCCCGATAGAGGGGAAGTATCACCTCCTTGGACCTATTCGTCATGCATCTGCTGATGCACGATAAAGTGCCATTGGCTTTTTTGATGGCTTCATCACACTGCCGACTCATGTTCATCTTGGAGTCCGCTAGGACTCCAAGATCCCTTTCCACTTCCATGCCACCCATCAGGTCATTCCCTAGGCTGTAGGTGTGCTGGACATTTTTCCTCCCTAGGTGCAGCACTTTGCATTTCTCCTTGTCGAACTGCAACCAGTGGTGGGACCAGGGTTTTTGGGACCAATGGTTGGTGGGATGTAAGATGGAAAAGGTTGAGAATTGCTGGTCTAGATGAGCCCCCTGAGCCTCATTATAACTCAGGTCTTGCCTTCGCCCTTCCTTTCCTTGTCATTCGTTACACCACATCACCACTCATGGACTTTGGGGAAAGAAATGGTCCCCATCTTTTGCATCTAGCTCTCTGCCACAATGATAGTGGGCTGTTTTTTCTAATGACTTTCTCCTCTCTGCCCCAGATTAACAAACAGAATGAGCAGATGCATGCCCTTCTAGCCATTGCCCTCACCATGTACCCCATGCGGATAGACGAGAGCATCCACCTACAGCTGAGGGAGAAGTACGGAGACAAGATGCTGCGCATGCAGAAGGGCGACCCCCAGGTGTATGAGGAGCTCTTCAGCTACGCCTGCCCCAAGTTCCTGTCCCCAGTGGTTCCCAACTATGATAATGTGCATCCCAACTACCACAAGGAGCCGTTTCTGCAGCAGCTGAAGGTCTTTGCTGATGAAGTACAGCAGCAGGCCCAGCTCTCCACCATCCGTAGCTTCCTGAAGCTCTATACCACCATGCCCGTAGCCAAGCTGGCTGGCTTCCTGGATCTCACCGAGCAGGAGTTCCGCATCCAGCTGCTGGTTTTCAAGCACAAGATGAAGAACCTGGTGTGGACCAGCGGCATTTCTGCCCTGGATGGGGAGTTTCAGTCAGCCTCTGAAGTTGACTTCTACATTGACAAGGTCAGTGCCTGCCCATATGTCTCATGTGGGATGGAGGGAGAGGGTGAGAAATAAAGCTACAAAATGAATGAGTGTACCACAGGCAGAAGTTTATCCTTATTTTCTGGAGTACATACTTTCTTCTGTTATTTCAAAGTTTTACTTAAGACCTTATCTGCAGACCTCTTCACCACCCTTCGGGGGAATGAACCTGAATCCTTAGCAAGATATTGGATCTACTGGCCTAAATAAGCTGAGCCCCAAATACCCTTCTTCCCAGACCTAGGTAAAGTCTCTCCTGCTTGCTGACCTTGGGAGAGGGTATGTCTAAATAACAGTGGACTGGATTGTCAGCTGTCACTGCCTTCGCTCATACACCCGCTCATAAATCCCATTTCCTCACTAGGTGGGAGAATCTTGCCTGGCTACACTGTTCTCCACTCTAAGCCAGCACTTACTCTTAGAAATCTGAGCATGGGGAATGTCATGAGCCCCAAGCCTGCAAAGGGAGCTCAAAGCCAGCAGATGCACATAGGCAGGAGATGAGGCCTGAAAGCTACTACCACTTTGTTCTCCAAGAAAGTAGCAGGCCCTGCCTGCCCCATCTAGCCAAACCAACTGGGCTGCTGCTGGCCCTCTAGCACTGCTTCCTGTCTCTTTGGGAACAAGCAGAAGCTGTAAGAGGAGCCTTGTTTTTTGGCTTCTATTGGAGGGAGACAAAACAATCCAACTGTTGTAGGGGAAAGCCTATGTCCTGGAGTTGAAGAAGGCTCCCAACAGGCTGATTATCCTAGCTCATTGGGGAAGACCCATTTGAGAGGGGAAAACCTCAATTTGGATTCCACCATTTGCAATGGGGGGAGCCTTTCCCATGAGTAGTACTTAGCTCATGGCTATGTGGAGGATGAGGAGCGTCTCTGACATGGGAAACCCTTGCTAACTCTGACTGCCTTGCCCTTACTTCACCCCTTTTCTTGATGTCCCTCCACTCTCTTGGCAGGATATGATCCACATTGCAGACACAAAGGTTGCCCGGCGCTACGGGGACTTCTTCATCCGCCAGATCCACAAGTTTGAAGAGGTGAGCAGAGTGTGCAGCAAGGGCAGGGAAATCTGTGTAGCTTCTGATGGGGTAGCCGTGGGGAAGACCTGGGACTCTCATGGGGCTGGTGGGCTGGGGAACTTCTGAGAGACAAGAGACCTGAAGCAGCTGGCCTAGCTCCATTCAGTGACTCACCAAAACCATTGGGAAGCATTTCAGGAACTGCCTTTGGAGCTGAACAAAGACTGCATTTTAAGCTACAAGCTGGTGACCTTTAGGGGGGTTGTGTTCTTCTGTTGGGCCTCAGTATGACTGCAGCCCAAAGGAAGGGAGAATCAGTATAACTAATGTAGTGTGCTGGAAGTAAGGGCAGGGTTGCTTGTCCTGTGGGGTAAAAGGGACAGCTGTAAATGTTGCCCCACAATACCAGCCTGTGCCACTTTCTACCCCTCCGCTGTTCTTGTATGATCTGCTGCCTCCTTGGGGATCTCCATTACCCCTTAGTGAGTCTGCTAATCCTATTGGAAATGCCAGTAAGAATCCATTACTGCCACCATCCTATCCAGGCCTGGGGGTAGAGGAGAGGATCTGCAGAGCTCAGGAACCCACTCCTCCCCCCACAACTTAGTTGGAAGATCTGTCCTGGCTGAGCATCCAGCAGCAAGAGGGGAAGCTGGCTGCGGCTGCTCTCTTCTTCCAGCAGAGGCCCCTGCAGGACCATGGTTCTGTCCAAGGAACATAATCCATGACTAACCTGAAGTCTGTTTCCACCATCCTTTGAAAACCTTTCTCTATTTTCTCTGAGGCCTTCTCTTCTGTGGGGAGGGTTTTTACTGTTGTTGGGTTTTTTTTTCCCCTCACTCCCTTGAATCATATTCAGCTGCTCTCCCAGCTGAGTTTGGGGACATCTAAAGAAGCTGTGCTTGTGAGAGCACCAGGCTGCATTCCAGCAACTGTGTGCGCATCTTTCTGGATTCCCCTCTCTAATAAGCTGTCTCGCTTTCTTCCAGCTGAATCGAACCCTGAAGAAGATGGGCCAGAGACCCTGAAACTTCTACTAAAAGTGTCACCAGACCGGCTAAGGATATGCGTGAAAGGAAGTGGGTGGGGGAGAGTATTGTGTGCTGCAGGGGAAGGGAGTTGAAGATTCTGGGAATCTCCTGTGACTGAGGGGTTTTTTTTACTTAGCTAAGCAGAGTGTTTGGATCTTGCCATCATACGGAGGACTGAGATCTCCTAATAAACACGTAAAATTCTTCTGTGTGTTCAGTACCTGATACTGTTTCCTTCCTTTTTTGGTGAGAGCTGGATGTGTTCTGGGGCCAGGTACTGTTCACCTTCTGTGTCCAGTGCAACCTCCCTTGGGGCAACTGGATAGGAGGCAGGTCTTTTCTATGCTACCTTAACCCCTGTACATAGTGAACAGGAAAGGTCATAGGGTTGGGTGCTAGCATTCTTCCTGCTTGTCTGTCTTACAGACAGAGTATGGAGGAGATGGAAACTCATTTGATCCCTTGCATCTGTTTCTCCCCTGACCCCTCCACCCCTTGCACTGCAAAGCGCTTAAAACACTCCAGTCCCCACCCTCTCCTGCAGCTTTCAGGCAGAGACTTATTTAGAGTGGGGGTTCTGCTTATTTTTACCTTAGATATGACAGGAATGTTACAAGGTCTGGTTTTACTCAAGACTCAGCCATCCTGGAAAGTGTATGGTGCGAGCTCTCCTCCCACAGTTGACAGGCCAGCAGTGACACTTCCTTTCTCCAAAATACTGGAGAGAAGTTTACTTGATTTAAACTTCCCAAATACTTTGATTCAGGCACTGTCACTTTCACTGGTTCTGCCATTACTGTGGCTTTTTTCCAGGAAAATTTTATTATGGCTTCTTTAATGTGAAAGAAAACCAGCAGAAAAGCTTTTTTCAATGTTATTTAACTTGCACAAGCTGCATAGGTGTCACTTTTGCGGGATAAAGTAGTAAGATTCTCCCCTAACTTTTTTGCAGATTATTTTTTAAATAGTTCGAATGTCTGAGGGGAAGCAGCAGCTGCAAGGGAAGACCTATGAGTAATCAGAAAGTTGCACAAAGCATGTTCCTAGATGCCATCTGTCTGTACCCCTCCCCTTCATTCCTCTCTTCTGAGGGGTGGTTTCTTTAATCAGACTATACTTATCTTGTACAGGAGGCTATTTGGAGGTCTCTTGAGCAGCCTTCATTCTTGTGTTTGTGGGTACGTCTACAGTGTGCGAGACCAACAATAAGCTCTGGTCACTCCCCACTACCACAAGGACCTCATGCTCTGAGAAAACAAGTGGTACCCATACTCCCTGTTCTCCTTCCCCTCGTATTGGTCACCCTTGCTAGCGCTCTTTTGAACTGCCATTGGTTGGTAGCTTCTTGTAGGCATGATCATTGATGAAACACATGGGTTTGGAAGGGTCTGAGGTGGATAAACCTTTGGACCAGATCTCCAAGGAATTCAGGTGCCTGAATCCTACTGAAAGCAATGGGAGTTTCACCCTTCTAAGGGTTTGTGCGCTCAATGCTGAGGGCTTAAAAGGTATGTTTACCAAGAGTAGAAAGTGATTGTAGCTGCAAACAGTCCTTTGATCATTTAGGTGTGGTCTAAACATAGTTCTGATTGCAAAACTCTGGGTGTTTCTGTGCTCAAATCTGCTTTGTAGAGGCAAAGTCCCTTCCTCCCCATGGCATTGTCCCACCACCCCTCAGAATAGAAGACCTTGCTGCAAGCAGGGCTGTCAGCTGAAGGTGCATACAAATATGCCCATTGCTTTCTGCCTTGTCCTGTATGGCAGCTGTGCATTCCTACTGATGAAGTATCTGCTTATGGATCCAGCAGGTGTGCCTGTGCTTTAGAAGTTTCTCTTTTGTTGCTGCCTGACCACAAAATTGCTGTTGTAAGAAGCCCCTCCAATGTAGACAAGGTTGTAGTTCCCATCACAAGTATCATTCCCAAGATGGGGGCTAAGATAGGATAGAGGTGTTAAGAGTCTCCTCATTCCAAAACATCCAGCTTTTCTTTGCTGCCCTTGCATTTGTCAGCAAAGGTCTTGAGTCTACAGTACAGTAAGGTACATCTTGGGCAGAATAATCAAAACTGCAAAATGGGTGACACCTGGCTGGATGGCAGCACTACAGAGAAGGATCTGGAAGTCTTGGTAGATCACAAAGCGCGAGTCTGCAGTGTGATGCAGTTTCACTACAGGTGAATGCAGTTTTGGGATGCATCAATAGAAGCATTAGGTCCAAGATAGCGTGATAGTACCTCTTTACTCATCACTGGTTGGGCCTCATTTGGGGTGTTGTGTGCAGTTTTAGGCTCCATTTTAAAGACATGGAAAAGTTGGAGAGGGTCCAGAAGCAGGTGAAAAAAATAATGAAGGGTTTGGAAGGTAAGTCATGCAAGGAGAGGTTGAAGGAAATGCATATTCAGCTTGCAAAAAGGGTGCTTAAGAGGGGACATGATAGCAGTTTTCAAATATCTGAACTGTCATGAAAAAAAGGGAGAACACCTTTTCTGTCTTGCAGAGAGTATGACTTGGACCAATGGCTTGAAGCTGCAGCATAGATTTAGATTGGATATCAGGAAAAACTTCACTGTTGAAATAGTGAGGCAGTGGAATAGACTGCCTAGGGAAGTTGTGGATTCTCTGTCACTGGACATCTTCAAGAAGAGGTTGGGCAGGCATCGATCAGGGATGATTTTATGTTCTACTAAGGTATTTCCCATGCTGCTGGGCTTTGCTGATAGCTGCATGGACCCAGAAGGGAATATTTGCCCTCCTGCTGCTGCTACATGTCAGGGTTTGCTTTTTTTAAGCCTTCCTCAAAGGCACTGAGTGTTGGCTGCAGCTGAGGCTGCGAATTTTGAGTGAAATGTGCCAGTGCTCCTGCTGGGACTTTAAACCTGGGGGTTCCTAGCCTAGAGGATCTTGCCCCTCTGCTCAAGTTCAAACCGATTGCCATATTTGGGGTCAGAAAGGAATTTTACCCCATGGTCAGATTGGTATGGACTGTGGGGGTTTGCCTTCCTCAGTAGCAGAGGGCTTGGCCATCTTCCTGGGATCTCTCGAGTGTGTTTTAACATTTGCAGCAGCAGAACATTGGCCACCATAGTCCCCCTGCTTTACCTGTGGCAGGTTAGGGTGTTGTGTCTTGTGTCAAGGTTGACTGTAGTTTTCATGTGAGGTTAGACAATGGATTTATACGGGATGCCTAGGAGAGGGATGATCCTGCCTCGGGCAGGGGGTTGGACTAGATGACCTATGGAGGTCTCTTCCAGCCCAGGTTCTCTACGACTCTTTAGCTAGCAGCGATATGCAGCAGGGAGACGCCCAACTTGCAAAGCCCATTTCTTCCAAGTCGCAGATTAATGTAGGATTTAAACTGGAATTTTGCTGGCTGCATTACTCTCGCTTTTTAATCTGGTATGGTAGGAGCATAGAGACTAAATGCATTTTTCTGTTCTCTTACACCCTTTTATAGTTATTCACACTTTGTTCTCCAGTATTTGAATATGCCTTTTCCTCAGCTTGTGTCTGTAAAACGGTTTCCTGGTGATGCCCATAAAGTATCTGTTACCCATCTGCAGCCAGTGCAACTGGCTCTCTGCCTTCTGTTAGAGACTACTGAAGGTTAACTGATGTGACTGGCATTTTTGGAGAGAAGCCAAAGGAACTGCAGTTCTTTGCATGGGGTGGAAAGATAGGCTCAGCAATTCTCAGTGCCTGGCACAGTTTGGCGCTAGAGGAATGCAGGGCATTCAGTAGCATCAACAGTCCAAATTCTGGAATGTGGCTAGAGCTGTTCCATGGGGTGGGGTGATGCTTTGTTACCTTAGCCTGGCCTGTTGGACAGGAGTCTGGCTGCGGGTGTACTTAGCATGGAAGTACAGCAGTCTGGAGTGAAGCAGTTCTGATCAGTGGAACCTCAGCATGAGGTCACTCCCTTTCCACTGCTGTTGCAGACCTGCAGGCAGGAAGGGAGATGGTCCTGCTTCAAGCAGGTTCAGTTATTTGCTGGATAAGACATTCTCAGTCCATTGTGTTCCTGTTCCTAGTTAGGCTGAGCAGACAAAAAGCCAACCTGTTTGCCATGGTTCTGTGATGTTGAGCAGTCAGTAGCATCATACCCTGGGTATAAAGATGCGCTGAAGGTGCTCCCCCTTCCCCCACATCATGTTGTTTTAAGCTACGCACATAGCAGTTTCCTGTGTCACTTAGTGGGTGCTGGCTAACATAATGAGTGCTTAAAGGTATAAATGTGGCCGAGGAAAGTGGATTTTTAGTCTGATCAAAGGGATGTAACTTGAAGTAATGGGGTGAAATGGAGCCTGTTCTAGTAATAACCTATCAATTCAGGCAGCTGAGAGTTTATTCTGCCTTTTCCTCTGCCTCCTACATGGGCTTCCTGTAGAGTGCAGTGTGCAATTCAAGGTCTTCATTTTTATCTTCAGAGCACTCGCTGTCCTGTCATGCTCAGTTGCTGCACTTCTCAGCCAAGTTCGAATTCTCTGCAGCAAGGGTGTGGTTTGTCTGGGAGTTGCAGCTTTCTCAGCTGCTGATCCAGGGTCATCGAGCAAAATGAAGGGCTGGGTTCAAAACTGGGCTCAGGCACCCCAGAGTGGGAGAAGTCCAAAACTGCACTCCTGAAAGCCTCTGTTCAGCTGTTGTCTAGGACCCAATAGTTGATGGACTTCAGGTCCCCAGGTTCTTGAAGCTGCACCTCTGTGCATATCCAAAACTGCTCCAGTTTTGATTAGTGCTGAGTGACTCAGGGCCTAGCTCATGCCTGAGCATGACTATCCAGATAGGAGATATTGCTCCGCCCAACTCCCCTGAGGCAGTCCCAGAGTGCACTTTGCATGCCTACAGGACTGAGCTTCCTTCAGAACGCTTGGCAGTCTTCCCCAACTGTATTTTCAAGGAAAGCAGGCCCAGCATACACCCAGGAAGTGGGACACTGAGGCTCAGTGCGCTCTTCTGCTGGGGGTGCTTCAACCCCATGCCAGGCTGCAGGCTATTCTGAGTGCAGGCGTTCTTTCTTCTCTCCTGCCACAACCGTGCCACTGCACAGAGAAGGATTTAAGATTCTTTGGGTCAGACAGAGAGCGTGAAGCAGTGGCTGTATAGCATAGTGGTTAGGGCACTCCCCTAGGGGATGGGTCTGATCCCTGCTCTGCTGAGGGACCAGACTCCCCATGTGCTGCACAGAGAGCTGAGGTCCCTCTCACTAGATTCTGGGCCCCAACCTAGAGGCCAGGTACTCAAAGTTAGGTATTTTGGCACCTTTTTGGAGCCTGAGCCCTTTATTGGATCTAGGAGTCTCCCCCAGGCTTTATCACCACCTCCTTCAAGTCCAAAGCCTGCTTCAATGATCTTGCTTTTGCCAACCTAAAGACCAGTTCAGTGTCCAAATACCATATACATTCAAAGAACCCCAAATCCTGTGGAGAGGCAGAGCCACATGCGACAGATGTTAGTCATATCCCTTGATGTACTGCTGGAAGATGTTCAGATACCACAGTGATGAGTGCTGTGTAAAAGCCAATTAAAACATCAGGAAGTATTTACTACCAATGCAATCTAATAAGTTATGGAATAGTCTCCCCAGGAAAGCAATGGAAGCCCCATCACACGGGCAATTTAAAATGAAACATAATAAAACTCTGGAGAATGCACAGCAGCGAACTTTGCTTTGGTCAGGATGTGGAGGGCCTATGGAAAGAGCCTGATCAATGGGCTGGTGCCCCTCTCTGCCTCCTACCCACCTGTGAATGGTGTGGAGAGCATTGCATGGGATGGTAAGTCATATGAAGGCAAGATTCCTGGCTTCTGAAAATGGGGTGTGTCTATACCCAGGTCAGAAAGCAGTTGAGGGTGTGTTCACATGGAATTAAGGTCACCCCCGCCACCAGCATCTCCTTCTCCCCACAGCATGCCACGGTTCCCTGATGTTTGTCTCCTTGCAGAGATGTTTGGAAGGTCAGGAGCTGTATTTACAGTTTCCAGACGTGGGGCATGGGCGCTG